CCAAGAAGGGTAAATGAGAGGTTCTTCTAGAGGATCCCAATAAATGCAGAAGAGTAAAATAACCTAACAAGGGAAACTAGTACAACTATGCAATGACTATCATGTCAGAATTACTAAATGATAAACAATCAGGCTAAATTCAGGTTCATGGCCATGTGAAATCAATAAGGTTATTCAGGATATTCTTTAACTATACACATATACTTTGGGTTTAAGGACTATTTAAACATTTGAACCACCAGAAAACTGTCATCTGCCGCAAAGGTTATAAAACATTGGTCCCAGGTACCTTCTAAATTCTATTGTTTCTTTTGTGAACAATACTACACCACCAGTAGCTTCTTTGTACTATACCAGGAGAGTTCTTCCTTCATATTTATACCCTTTAAATATGTGCAGTTTACTCTTCTGTCCCCAATGGGAGATAAAACAACCTGAATGTACAATAACATTAGAAATGGAAACTGAAAAGAAGACACTACTCAAAATACAGACTAGTCCATTAGGATCTAAATTTCTGTCCCCTGGTAACCATATGAACCACATTTAAAATTAAAGGTTATAAATATTTTTAAATTCCTTTCCTAAAGGAGAAATGAAATTGTGTATTACCTTCTTATTCTGAAACAGATGGCTATATAAATAAATACAATTAACCTCTCCCTGCCTACAATAAAGTCTTTTCAATAAAATTTAAATGCATTATTAAAGCTTATATAACAATTTAGTGATTAATTGCAAGAGTGATGTCACAAAGTTTAAAAGTTTAAAACTTTTATTCTCATAGAACTAAACCTAAATGCAAACTGCACTGATACATTTAGAAAAAATAGAGCATCACTTACTACAGAACTGACTTTTGAAGCTCTTAAAAATCTTCAGAGACTCACATGTGGGTTACCAACCACATAGTGCTTATGAAGAGAAACAGAGAACAATGAACCTTTGGGGACAAAATGAAAGTTTCTTTCAATGCAGCTTTTACAATTGGCCCATCTATTGTAAAGCGCTCAAATTTCAGCAATAATAAATTGTGCAGAAATCCATTAATAATAAACTCCTCACTGAATTCATGAGGACTGGGTTTTTATACCTTTCCTAGGACTAAGAAAAGTCAATAGTGAAACCTAACTGATATATCCAAGGTGAATAGAACAGAGCTGTGGGAAATACATTTCCTGCTGTTCTTCTGCCACCTGAAAACAAATGCCAGTGCTTCCCGGAGCATGTCACTGTCATCTTTGTAGTTTTAAAGAGATCTCCTTTAGTGGGGTAATAAGCCACTGGGGCAAATTTATTTCAGCTGGAAACTCAAAGAGAAAAACTGTGTATTTCTGTAAGATATAAGCCCTTCCAAAACATGCCAGATGATAAACAGAATACCAGAGCACTCTATCATATCTTTCTCTCAACCACTCAAACCCAGGAACCTTAAGATATTTTCATCAATGTTAAATACTGAAGCAAACTGGAGATGGACCCTAAAGAAGGTATATGCAAGTTGATAGAAAATATAAATGGAAACTAATCATTTCTAGATGATGGTGACAACGATGTCAATGGCTATTGCTATGCTCTTATATAATCAGTACTATCAAAGATGCTTAGTTTTTCAGTATCTATAACAATCTCACAGGGTACCATTAGTATCCTGATTTTACAGATAATTAAATCAAGTCACACAACAATTAAGTAATGCGTCCATGGTGACACAGAGAGTAAGTAGAGGAGATGGTTTATTTCAAGATTCTGCCTGCAGAGCCTTCCTTACATGTACCAAAAGAAACTGTCAACAAAGGGCAGACGTGATCTGCAACAATTGTCTCATTTTTTTCTTCTACTGCAAAATCATGTTCAATTGCTGAGAAAAATGTAAGATCTTGCTTACTTCTGGAAGATTTTCGGACCTATCTTTCCCTCCTCCCACACCTCACTTCTACCACCCAAATTTAATGTGCTTTTGATTTTGAAGCAGTCTCAAAAAATAGTCAAGACTTAAAGCAAAGTAGAGGGACAGAAGAATCAGATCCATTAAGAGAGAAGGGCTGGTGAGGAGGATATGATTAAACACTGGTTTTAGATGGTATTAGAAACCGATATCTAATCTTCCTCTCCATGGAAGTTTGCATCTTCCGACGTATGTCAAAAGCATGGATATAAACTATTGACTGATTCAGTGTAAGAATCACCAAATTGGTTCATAGCAAATTAAAAGAACAGATGTAGTTTCCTTTAAAATATCCCTTATGAAAAAGCTATTTGGATTTAATAGATACAGTATCAGGAACGAATTTAAGAATGTGAATACTATGTTGATAAAGGCTTACTTTTTCCATCAAAAACAAAAGCACTTAATATGACATCATGTTTATGCTTTCTTTCATTTCTCTCAACTCAGAGGAGACAAGGGGTACTTGGACTGAGTACCCGTGAAACACCAGCAGGAGCTGAAAGCAGGCTTGCAGTGGGCATCAGGAACTGATTAGAGTCTTACTCTCCCATAGGCTGAATAAATAATGATGAGGCAATTTAATTACACAACAGCTGAATTATCTACCTGTTCTGAGTCTACCATTCTTAAACAAGACCTCAATTTCATCAGGTTTTGTTTATAAGTTATATAAAGTAAGTGACTGGAAACAGCATGGGCGAAATTCAAATGTTAAAAATGACAAAAGCTACAATTCAGTTTTCCATGGAATATTCAGCTGATTATCAGCAACTGACATAAGAATCTAAACATCTCATTCACCATTAACAAGGGCTGCTCAATTACCAGCCTTTATAAAGAATCCATAATGTATACATAAACACACATATACATACACGTTCTCTCTGTACATTTCATTATTTTTAGATTTTGGTTCATACTCAGTAGAACGCAGGGCTTTTCCCAGCTCAGTGCTCAGGAGTCACTACCAGCAGTGTTCAGGCAACCATAAGGTGACTGGGATCAAACCCCTGCTTCTAGCATACAAATCATGTTCACTAGCCCTTTGTGCTATCTTCCCAGCCTCTTCAGTTTATTTATGTTCATTATTATTCATGCCCTTCCCCAAGACTTTGGTTTTTAGCCTCTCCAAATTAACTATCATGTCATCCATATGGGAATTTGACATAACCAAGTCATATAAAGTGGGTGAGAGGGAAACTGCTGAGTTTTCCACATAAAAGCCAAAGCACATATTTATAAGAGAATAGAATTCTTTTATCTTCTATAATATCAATGAATCTGAAAAACATGCTAAGAGAAAAGGGTCGAAGCAAAAGTGCACATCATGTACGATTCCAGTTGATATAAGGTACCCAGAGTGAGCAAGTACAAAGACATAGAAACTAGAATAGAAATTACCAGGACTGAGAGGAAAAAAATGGAAGTTAATATTTAATAAATATAGACTTTTTGTTTAGGATGAGAAAAGTTCTGGAGCAGGTAGCAGGGATAGTTGTCCAAACACTATAAATGTACTTAATGCTAACAATCTATACATTAAAAATACTCAAAGGAGTACATTTTAGCTTTTATATATTTTATTTTACTTCTTTTAAAAAGAAAAACTTAAAACAGGTATCTCTTTCACAATTATACAAAATTCAGGGTCAAGAGGGGTATGCCCTAAATTTCTCCTTAAAATATTTAAAAAGACGACTTTAAGTTCCATGAGGACAGGAACAGATCTGTTTTGCTTAATGTTTATTTCATACTCTATTATGAAAGAAAGTCAGTAGACTTACCATAAATGTTTTCTTAATAAATAAACGGGGAAAAGAAAGCAGGATGAATTTTCTTCACTACAAAATATCCTAAAGGTATCAAACTTAAGTGTCCAGTAGAAAGTAAATGGAGCATATTTCAGAGAATAGCATGAACGCTACGGGTCTGGGTCTAGTTCATATATACTTCCTTCCCAGTATGTCTCACAATGTCTCATGCATAACAAAGAACTAATGTTTTAGGATGTAAAATAAAAATCATACAACTATAGAATGAATCATATCACTGTTCTGAATTTCCCCTCTTTCAAAAAAATTTACTATTTTTTGCAAACTATTTTTGTCAGAGGATGAAAAATAAATCTCTCAGCTTACACAAGTAAAGTATAAATAGCCATAACACATTACTCTCAGGAAAAAATTATATTCTAAATTTTTTTAAGTTTTTTTAATTTAAAAAAAGGCAACCGAAATAACTTACAGTTCATTTTAACTTTTTAGGAAATAGTCAAAATAAAAGAAAAATTTAAGTCTCTTGGGGAAAATATATATTGATTCCCAAGAACCTTCATAATACATAGCAGAGCAAATATAGAGGCTTTTGTAAGGCTCTTCATCCCCCCAAATTATAAAGAACCCAAACATGTTGACAAAATTTCTCTCAATTAGCCTATCAAGTAATCAGATGTTCTTTCTTTAAAAATACTTTAAAATCATACACAACTGACTTCTGAGCAACATGCTACAAGATACTGATGAATTTCAACTAGTAGTCACTACCAACAACATTAGTTTTACATGAATTACTGAGTTATGTTATAATGTTTTTAAAGCAAAAAAAGAAAGAAAGAAAGAAAATACTGGCGTCCTCCTTAATATTCAACACCTGAATAATAAATGAATCATTATAAATCCACTGAAACCATATAATGTAGACATCTACTCAAAACAATATTAAAACATGTCCTTTAACTTTAACTGCCCCCCCCCACAGTACTTTCTGTCAATTAAGAAAGGAAACAGGAATACAATCTCTATTGATGCAAGATGCACATTCCTATTTCCCAATGGTTATTTTCTTTATAAGCAGGTAAGCATTATTTTGGAATAGCCTGTCTGCTATCCCAGTCCTTCAAGCATGCAGGAGTTCTCCATTAGCATCCGAAACGCTAACAGTCCACTCTAAAGGCAAGCACTTCAAGCAGAACTGCATGAAAGATTATCACCTTAGTACATGAAAGCATAACCACTCCAGGTGTAATGATGCAAATCACCAGCACACTGACCTCTGCTAGGCAGCACACACTTAACGCAGGTACATTTCTGAGCTCCAGAAGGGGAAGAGGCAGAATGAGCAGCAAGAAAGTCCCAGATCCCTAATACATTAAAGATGTTATTCCACTCAGATCCAATCCAACTAATTCTTAGACATCAGTTTACCCAGATAAAATAAAAAGTGGTCTCTTGTCCTTCACTGGCTTGACTCATAGGGCATTCAGCCAAGCTTAGCCAGGCAAAACAATCTGTGAGGTCTCTTTACGTTATAATAAATAAGAGGAGTTGCTGAAGAAATAAGACTCAGCTATGGCAAAGCAGCAGAGTCGCTAAACCTTTTTCTCATCTTATCACTGCTACTGGTGTTTACAAACTACAGGCAGTAGCCGAAGGAGCCTCAAGAGACCCTCCCATGAGTAACCTCCTATAAGATCCCTAATTTAGCTATCCCCTTGATCAATCTGTGATGTTTTGGCAGTTAAATAGAAGGGAGTGAGTAAAATGACATGCATAAAATGAATTCACTGCAAGTTGTAAATGAGTGAGTCAGGATTCAGACTTCCCGAGATGCTCCAAATTAAAATCCTTGCTCTAATTTTAAGCATGCTCCGTCTTACCGTTGTGCTGCTGTCTCTCTCAAGCTTGATTTACCTGGAACTCCGTAACATGTCTCTAGCAGTGTGTTTGCACCAGGCCAGGCTGATACAGCAACTGAATTCACATCTTTCTGCACTAGCAAGCTGAAATGGTACGGCCGTACTACAACCAGGAAAGGGGGAAGCAGAAGCAAAAAAAAAAAAAAAAAGAAGGAGAAGAATCCAGAAATCACCTTAGAGAAGCTAATCTCAGTGGAATAAGACCAAAAAATGGTTCAGAAGACTACAAAGGACATGCTAATATTCAGTTACAGTGGTTTTAACAGCTTAATTCCCCCAAAAAATCAATCTAGTATTTTTTTCCTCCAAACACGATGGACTTGCCTGTGGAGTTCCCAGGAAGGCAGAGTAACCGGGCTCTGCAGCAGCATTGCAGCCAAAGTAACAGTGCATATGCTGTCCAGCAATTCACAACACACTGTCTCTTCAGAGAGATATTGATTTGCAATGCAGGGCTGCTTCAAAAGAATACAGAATGGATGCCAAACAGCTAATGGTGATTGCATAGGAGAAAAAACATTTAATCAAGGGGATGCACCTCATCATGCTCAATTCATTTTTTTAAAAGCACCAGAGGAAGCCGGTAAGTTTCCCAAGTGACAATCCCATTAAACAATAATCTGAAGTCCTATAGAAGGCCAAGTTTACATTACAAGCATTCATGCTGCAAAGAAAAAGTCCACTAAAGTGTAGCTGAATATGTCCATGTACATGTATTTGCCATATTCAAAAGGACATAACTCTAATAATCATATGCCAAAATGCACAGCTGAGGCACTGAGCCCAACTAAAGTGAGAATATACTTTACACATTATACAAGCCTGCAGAACTAATGACAGGGTTAGGGATCATACTATTATCAAAACTAAAATACCAACACAAACCAGATCTCACAATCTTGGGACAAGATTGTGCCAAGTCATGCCACACAGTGCTAGACGGCAAAGGATGCCAAACTGCTACGCTCATAGCGACCCCTACAGGAAGCTAAGTGATCTACAATTCATCCTTATTTAAATTATTTTTCTATCCTCAGAAAACAATCTTTACAAAATGGTGTAAATTAGACCAATATTAGGGCACAACTTCAAAAATATATTAGGCAAGAATTTTTTATTGTGCATTAAAATTATAGATGTTCACCTACTTAAGGGCTGGAGCGATAGCACAGCAGTAGGGCATTTGCCTTGCACGCGGCCAGCACAGCAGAGCCTGGTTTGATTCCTCCGCCCCTCTCGGAGAGCCCGGCAAGCTACCAAGTGTATCTCGCCCTCACGGCAAAGACTGGCAAGCTACCGGTGACGTATTGAATATGCCAAACACAGTAACAACAAGTCTCACAATTGACATGTTACTGGGACTGCTCGAGCAAATTGATGAACAATGGGAGGACAGTGCAGTGCAGTGCAGTGCACCTACTTAAAGATATTAAGGTGCAAGAAGATGTAACTAATGTGTCAATCTCAGTCAATATTCCAGAGTTCCCAGTATTGAGAATTCCGGAGTCAATATTCCAGAGTTCCCAGGTCCTACACACTTAGGACCTCAGGGAACAGCACTCTCCCTTCACATCCAAATTAGTTTCAATCATATCCCATACTTCCAAATCAGCTTCAGTTTTATTATTTTGAATAACACTATGATGTATTTAACATTTTTCTACCACACAAAAGCCCATTTAAAACCTTATAAATATATCTTCACATACAAATAAAGTGCACTTCCTTCTTATTAATTAAAAACAAGAGAAAAAACTACCTCCTTAATATCTGAAAACCATTAAGTTATATGAATATTATATCTGTGGTAAAGACTTCACAAGGTTTAGAAGAACCTGGGAGTTGTTCTTATTATTTTTTTGTTTGGGGCACAAACCCAACAGTGCTCAGCACTTAACTTCTGTGTCTGAGCTTAAGGATCATGCCTGGCGCCATATATAGTCCAATGGGCCAGCCAGGAGTAATCTATGAGCACTGCCAGCTGCGGCCCAAAATGTAATCCCCCCAAAAAACTTCTGTTTGGTTATTGGTCAATTCCCCATTTCAAGTTCCTTAAGGAATACACTGCATCAATTCCACCTGTTTTGGAAAAGGGTGCTAAGGCTCCAGATGTCAGAATGGTGACACTCAGCCTCACAGTACAGGCCTCCTAGATTTGAAGCTCTGATCTAGTGAGGCAAAGCTGTTCATATGCTGGCCATCATCCTTGGGGCCCATACCAGACGTGCTCTGGAGCCATGGAATACCACGGATCAAACTCATGATCTCTCAAAAGTAACACAAGCATGACAGCCCTTTGAGTTTTCTCCCTGGCCCTCAATTCCATCTTACATACTGCCTCATTGTTCCATAATACAAGGCTCAGCATCTAGCTAATATTAAGTAAATATTTAAAATCATTCCATTTCAATTCCATACTTTGGACTTAGATAATTTCCCCTCCTCTGTAGGATAACACTGTTTTGTCCTTCTTGCATAGTCTCAGGTAGTTTAGGTTTATTGGGTTGCTCCCATCACAGTGCTCTCATTCCTGTGTTTATTTGTAACTTCTTTCTTTGTACTCTGTTGACTTGTAAATATTGTTTTTCTCTTCTCCCTGAGTTCTTTGCATAGTTTATTCAGAGCAATGTCCTTTTTGTATGGACACAAGAAGACAGTATATGCTATGCTTTTGTTATGTGACTCTCAGTGATATTTTCCTCCTGGGTATCTGTTCTCTCACTTAAGCCTCAGCTGCCCTTTCGTCCTAGCACCCCGAAAAGCAGGATCCCGAAGAGGGACTGGATGGAACCAGGGCAAGCAGTAAGCTATGTGCTACCCTGGCATCAAGATGGGCCTGGCCAAAGTGCCATAATGCTTAGCTATAAGTTAAGAGCTTGGTCATGAACAAATGCTGCCGTGATCCAAAAAGTAATAACTAGATTTGGACCCTGCTAGGGTTAGGAAAGATTAATCTGGCCTGAGCGCTGGAGTCTGAGTCTGTGGCAAGATGTTCCCAGGAGAGCTGCCCTACAAGCCTCAATGTTATCTCTTACTTTTTTCATACAAAAGTAACTAGTATTAAGATATTAATAGAGTTATTGGACTAAGGAAAAGAGAAAAACATCTTAAGGTGTATTTTGCCCTTGGGCAATCAGGAAGGGCTTTGGAATACCTTTTAGTTAGTGTTCCCTCTGAACTTTGTGCGCCCTCAGTAAGGGCTTTCTTATTTTGATTTTGCTACCTGACTAGGTGCAGTGTCAGTCCAGAGTGCTGGGGAGTTGGGAAGGCAAGAGAGCTGGAGAGGAGAGAGAGCAGGGCAGCAAGATGGACCGTGAAGAGACTAGCAAGGGGGACAGAAGGAGAAGAATGTAGAAGAATACAGGAGCAGGCACGTGGAGAGATGTGGCTGCGAGATGGAGCATGGAGAGATGAGCGGGAGTGACAGAAGGAGATGGGAATGAGAGGCAGTGAGAGACTAGAATGGGAGGCTCAGAGAGACTGGGGCAAGCGAGTGGGGAGAATGGAATAAACGGCATCTGATCAATCAACCGGCTTGGCCCTCCTTTAGTCCACCTTCAGTCCCATGGCCCGGGCTGCCCAGGCTGTGGGAGCGGCCGGGGGCCCCGCCCCTGAACGCAGGCAGTGAGGGGGAGAGCCAGCAAGGCCGCCCTGGCTGCCCCTCGAGAGATTATATACTCCTCTACCACTTAATATTCCCTTACAGCAAACAAACAAAAGTTAGAAGTATTACCCTGAGTCAATTCAAGGTAGTCACTATCTCTTTTTCCACTTTTTTTGGTTTTCAGGCCACATCAAGCAGTGCCCAGGGATGCTCAAGGGCTACACCCCAGTTCCATGCTCAGCAGCCACTCCATAGCTCTGTGCTCGGGGACCATGTGGTGCCAGGCACTGAACCAAGGTCTCCTGCGTGTAAAGCATGTGATCAGTCCACTGAGCTATCTCCAATCCTAAGTAATATTAACTCCTGTATGTCTTTTCCTATAGAACTAGCTGATAAGGACATGTACAGTTATTTACTATAAGCTATGTTGCCCAAAACCCAACACACTTTATACTTGTTTTTCTCCTCTATTCTTTCATGCATTCATTCATGGATAAACACACGATTCAGCTGGCAATATGAGAAATCATTTTCTCTGCATTCAAGGAGCTCAGAGTGGTTGAAAGTAAGGCAAGTGAATACAATACACTGAAATGAGTGTGGAGTGAGCCCGTGGCTGGAAATAAGGTGCCTTGGGTGGCTGAGGAAAGCGATCACTGAGAAGGTAGCACAAAGCTGAAGCCTGAAAGCAGTGCCATGGACAGCAGGCATGCACACTGCACCAGGACAGGACTGAAAGGCTCAGACCTCTGAAACGGAAGCCACAAAGCAGTACACATGGTGGCAGCAGCTGTGAAGGTTGGAGGAAAGGCATCGAAATGTGCCAGAGCATAACGGGCCCTGGAAACCGTGATATGAAGTTAGGAAGTTCATCCCACAAGTTTTCATTTAACACAATGGGAAAATATTAAATGACTATAAACTGAAGAGTGACTGGATGGAAGTTTCACTTCTACAGTGGCACAGGAAAATGGCACTGTGATGAAGGGGAGGCGGGGAGGCACATGGGAGTCTAATGCAATACCTCAGAGAAGGCCCTGAAAGAAAGCCATGGAAGTGGAATTTGGGAGACAAAGGCATGAGAGACATCCAGAGCCA